AGCTAGTTAAATCACTGAACAATAGTTACTGTTATGGGGCTTTACTTTGCACAAAGTAGCATTTAGCATCATTACTTTCCATTAACCATGGAACTTGCACTGGGGACTTCCACTGAGAGAAAAGGAGGAGAAAAAGAGAGGGGCCGAGCAAGAAGAGGCCAGGAGAGAAAGGGAGGGAGAAAGAAAAGAGGAAGGAGAGAGGCAGAAGGGGCGGGGGGGGGGGGGAAGGTATTTATAAAAAAAAAAAGAAAAGGGAATAATATTTGTACTATTAGCATTTAGAACTGGCAACATTTAACAATGTAATTGATCTCTACTCTTTGCATATCCCTGTACTTTTTCCTTATTGTTTTTCTAAAATGTTTTTAAGTCCCCCTGTTAAGAATCAATATATCCCTATTCTGATATTCACACATAAATCCAAACTAAAAGCTAACCAGAGAGTAACAATGAAAACACACCTGGTAATTCAGTAACTTTTAATTAATTCAAAGGACACTAAGGAATGAAGGGTCTAGAATGAACATCCTGATTAGCTGGTGTAGTGACGAGCAGTCAACACCTTATTATTTAATCATTAAAGAGAGTCTTGCCATAATTTCCTTTTGACATATTTCAAGAAAGGAATTAAGAATATGCCACATGACCCACAACAACAATCAAAAGTAAACTTAGAGATGCTAAGATCCCATCATTTTTAAGGCTAGGATATGGAGAGGTTCTGGGATTGAGTCGTGAAGTGGGACCTTATGCAGCATTTACAATTTAAATAAGATGTATCCAAATGCAAACATTTGGAAACAAACTACCTGAAAAGGGGGCCTTGTGCCTGCCTCCTGCTGTTGTGTCCAGCTTTTTCAATGGATGAAAATGAATAGCAGACATCTTAGCATGAGTGAATATCCACTGGCCCCATCTTTTTTTTTTTTTTTTTTTTTTTTCCTAAAGCAGTAGATTCAGTTCTCCTGGAACTTTAGGTTGTGTCCAATGACAAAGCTTAAATTTCCTTGGGATGAATCTCCATACCTCTTTGGAGGGGAGGGGGGCGATTTCGGTCTAATCTTACTTCAGTTTTAAGATATGTAACCCAAACTATGTTTTAGAAACAGCGTTCGGAACTTTGGAAATAAAACAATCTCAGGCCCACTTGGGAATCAAAGTGCACTGGGAACCAAAGGATCAGGTTTTGCCCCAGGTCTCCGAGCCTGGTCGCCTGTTGCTCTCCAGCCTGGGCCGCAACAGTCCAGGCGACCTCCCCCGCCTCCACCCCCGGGAGCCTGCCAGCACTTGGCATTTAACCTGCCTGGTGAGCATGGCTTTCTGGTTCCATCTCCGCGAGCCACTTTACTTCTCCCTAGACGTCAGTGGCAAATCTGGATTAACATGCAAGAGGGCGCCCAGCGCAGCTAGCCAGCCCTTACCCAGGAGCTCTTAAATGCAGATTCAGCAGAGGACCCCCCGGAGAGATGCTGTTGAATAAAACTGTAATCCAAAGGGGCCATTTCTCTGCTTCCCGCTCCTTGAGGGGAAAACCAGGGCCGCTGCTAAAGCCCCAGCACTAGCCCAGCTAATCTCGGCTCGCGACGAGCAGCCGTGGCCACCCTGCAAGGCGACGTTGGGGGATCTAGAAGACACTTTGCTCCTCTCGCCACTCTTCCCACTGGTTCTTGAAGTTGAAAATGCTTAGGGTCAAGGGGTGGAAAGCAACAGACACTCCTAACAAGGAAGAGGACGGCTCCGTCCTGGAGTGCGGACTAAAGTCCACCATCTGGGCGCCTAACCCCACTCGGCGCCCTCACTTCCACCATGGACCCTCTGTCACGCGCCACGCCTCCCCTCCGACCCGCATCCCTTCCCGCTGTCATCCAGGCCAAATCCTGGTCTGGACGCCTCGTATCGCCATTTCCCTTTCTATCCACTCTCGGATCGCAGCCTTGTCCTCGACCCACCTGGAGGTGGGCAAGTCCCCCAGGTCCCTCGCTGCCCTCAGACTTTGGCCGTCTGGAGCATCCGTGCCGAGCAGCTAGCGCGCTGTCGGGAGAGGGCGCCAGGAGGCCCGCGACCTCCCATGGCTCTCAGGCCATGGGACCTCCAGGCGGCCTCCAAGGCGCGGGAACAGGAAAGTCGGGCGGGGACGGGTGTGGGGACAGGATTACAGTTTCTACTGGCATCTTAATCTGATACCAAAAAATAACAATTAAAAAGACCCAAACCAACAACACTACACACCAAGCGGATTTCTGCTGACAGCCCTCCGGGAACTGCCTGGCCTCAAAGTGGTCTATCCTAGATCCCGGCGCGGGTGGCAGCCTTCGCGCAACTCCGAGAGCCGGGGAAAAAAAGTAAAATAAAATAAACCGTGCCGCCAGCAGGCCCTAGAGACAGAGGGGTTAATGAGCTAACGAGGCCCAGCGCTCGCGCCACACCTGAAGCGTCAACTGCCAAAGCGCACCCTCTGCCAGGCCCAAACTAGCTACGCCGCGTTTGTAGACAGGTGGAGAGGCCATTCTTTTGGGCCTGGCCCCAAGGCGCGGCACTAGGGGTTCAGCACCCCTGGGGACCTGCTCCAAGCTGCAGATGGATAACTGGCGCCCACCAGATGGGCCTGATGCCTCGACCTTCATTCTCCACCTCCCCAGGGAAGGGGAGCCCATCAGCACCCAGGGCACAATACTGCGTGCGCCGCCCCCCCCCCCGCACTGTGCTCGTCTCTCCACCCAGTCCAGACACACTAGCTCCTGGCTCTTAGGAACCCGACAACACAGAGGACAAACTTTGGTTTGCTGCCTTCTGACCAACTGAGACCTGGGTGAGCCCTAAAGGTCACACGAGAGAGCCCACGCGCACAGGCCAACAGCGCCACGAGCCCAGTCAAAGCTGCGACGCTCACTCTTATTTAAACAGCAGGGACAGGATGGATACACGATTTTCATTTGATAGGTAGGAAGGGAGACTAAAACGTGAACTTCTACCCAATACGATTGCACATCAATCTTTACATATCTTAAATTAAGGTAATGGGGATATCGAAAGTTTACCGAGGAGGTACAGGGAGAACCCCACGATGTCTGAACAAATTTTATCCCCTCCCCCCGCCAGAAAACCCCATAACTTCGGTTCTTTACCTTTGACTTTAATAAAATAATGATTCGTTGGGAAAATGGGGTATAAATCTTCATTTTGGAGGCAATTAAAGTGTTGATTTCATTCGTGCCCCTAAGCGATTCTTGTAATTTGCTCAAATAGCTTTATGTACCCAGCACTCCGGAGCTTTTAGAATCCCATTTTCTAGTTAGGCTTGTTAGATTACAATTTTTACTCAACAGCAGCTACCCGAGGGTTCCTGGGAGGAATCTGCATTTAATAGCTCCCGGGTTGAGCCCCAAGCGAGGCCAGGGAGCTCGCGAGGCCAGGACTGAGAACCTCCTACAGTTTCCCCACCTCGGCCCCGCGGCTTCGGGATTGCACATGCTTCGGATGGTGTGCATCCGTCTACACTGCCCGAAGTTTCCAACTTGCCAAATAGTGAGAACCCAGGCGTATTTGAGCTTTCAAACTCTGCTGCACCCCTCATGGGCAAAAATGGAATTCAGCCTAGTCGTGGGGTTACCCAGAGATAGTCAAGCAGGGCATTTAGTTTTAAGGGGAGATATTAGGAGGAAAAAATCATTAAAATGACACCAAGAATGAGGTGTCGGGCTAGGAATATTGAAGACAACGGCTGGCCAACAGGGATCATGGAAGGGTTTGCAAAGAAAAACTGTCGGAGAAGCTGGTCTTTGGCTTAACAAAGGCAGGCTGATCTCTTCCCCCAAGAAGGGACTCACGTGCCAAGTCTGAAAGAACGCTAGGCCTTCACTTATATGGGGGCGGGGAGGGGGACCGAGGAGGCCGCTACCCAAATCTCTAGACTCCTTGCAATAATTCGCACCAGAGCTGTCCTGGGCCCTGTTTCATCTCACTCACTTCTCACGTTTTCACTTTCATTGCATTTTCCCAACTCATTTGGACCAATCCAGAGACACAGAGACAGGAGAGAGAAAAAATGGGAGCAAACGGTGGTGTCAGGGTGACAGGGGGAGAGAAATCACCCCTTCTCCCCCACCCCCAACAACTTCAAATAAAAGTCGTCCCCACTTAGCAACTCAGCGGAAGAAGAGTCTGGAGGGAGGACGCAGAGGAGGGGTACAGCAAGGGCCGCAGCAGACAGCACTGCGGCGTGAGGGCCCCCACCCTGCACACCGAGGGAGCCGCCAGGGTGTCCCTGATGCTGACACTTCCAAAAGCTGCCAACCTAGAGGGCCCAAAGCACGTACCAGCTGGAGGACGAGTGGAAAGGAGGAGGAGACAAGTCCATATTTATCTGTTTTTCTAACCTCGGCCTGGTCTTATTTTTTTTTTCTATTAAGTACAATAAAAATGGGCGAGCTTGCAGCGAACACCGCACAAAGCAATGTTCAGTGAGGTCTAGAAGCGTTCGGCCGAGGAAAACTGACAAGACAGGCTAATGAACCGTATAGACAGGGAGAAAATAGCCAGCATTTGCTAGATTTCAAACCCGCCCTGCCTCTCTTAGACCACCTATCTTGGATTTATTCCTAATAAAATAAAAAACAAGCGGAGCCTACACTTTTCTTTTCTTCAAGATAGAAGGGGGAAAAAATGCTCCTGAACAAAGCCCTACAATCAGAGGCGGTCACTGGCAGTTAACACTCCCATTATTATAGAGGGTAAATAAAATAAAGACAAAAATTAAAAGCGACAAGAAACAGGTCAAGTTTGCAGGCAAAGCTTTTACAAGCTCATCTCCCTAGGTCGAATCCCAGAGCCAGCCTTAATGAAGCAATAATAGCCACATTATTCAAAAATTTTCATTTCGATGGAAATGTATCTAAAAGGAACTTAATCATATGCAAATAATAAAAGGAGGTGGTAGTGACCCAGCAAGCAATATGCATACAAATTTTTTCTCAGGGATGTTGAAATTGAAAAGCACATACCTGGTCGGTTAGATTTGCTGATCTTGTTATGTCTTCACTGTCTGATTTTGATCCTCCTTCTCTATCGTCTATCACCAAATCAATAGGCATTTTTCCTTTCAAACAGCTAATATACCGGTGGCAGAAATTGTCACATAATTCGTGTACCTACATTATGACAAAAATAAAAAAATGGAAATATAATCAGGAGTGCATAAATGACATTGACAAGTGCAATCCACCTCCCTTGTGAGACCCAAACTTCCAAATACGGGAAACACAGGGCAATTGTCCTCCAGAGACCCCCAGACGCATCCAGAATTAGGAATAACTTTCTTTTCTTGCAAAATAGAGATATCCCAGAAAATTGACAGTGACAAGATGATTCACAGGCTACAACATATTCAACACCCGTGTTAAATTCATCTGCTCCTGGGGCTGTGGCCATTAGAGAGGTGACCTGCCTGGGTGACACTTAAGGTAAACTATTTAATTTCATCCAGTTACTTTATCATAAACCCTTTTCCAACGTGTCAAAGGAAAAATGTGAACACACACACATAATCTCCAAAGGACCTGTACTGTGGTGACATGGGATATATCACTGACAACCCATGTCCCTATAACATTGGTAATAATTAGTGCTTCTATCCACAAGGGGCATATTTTAAGATACTTCCTTTAAAAAAATAGAAAGAAATCAAGTTGCCACTACTCATAATGTGAAAAAAACCCTACAGCCACAAAAACTTATCAAATTGATTTTTTTCCAAAAAAGGAGAAAAGAATGACTCAAAATAATTGGGTATAAGTGCAATGGACTCTTACAGGCCCCAAGAATCACTGACATGCAAAAATTCACAAGAAACCCTAGCGTGCTTGCAATTTAATGTTAGTTTGAATTACAATGCATTAAGTTTTTATTGCTGAGATTTATAGAACAGCTAGCAAAATCACGTTATCCCATGCCCTTTCTTGAGTGTGAAGGTGAGGTGTGTGTTGGATTCACAGACTCAAGAAATTGACACAACTATCAGTCCTGCTTTGTCTCCGAAAAAGGTTTAATGTACCTCCCCACCACCTCCTCCAGACTCCTTTGCCCACTCCTCCTCCCCCTCTGCCTCTTTGGTGTCTGACCTGCTGCTACTCTCAAACTGTCTTCCAGAAACTCACAAAAACTAAACAAAACTTTTCCCCTCTCAGAGGTAGCAAAGAAGACCAGGAAGAGGAAGAGAAGAGAGGTATTAACCTGTGAAAGGACTCACAACAGCATTCTAAACATCAGCTGGGATGCATAGAATTGCAACTATTTACACAAAGCCAGCAAGGTATTAAGAATGAACACAAGGATAGGGTGTTTGTGATCCAGGTTTTAGTGGCTGAAATTGTAATTAAACTGTGAAGAGAAATGGAACCTAAGATTGGCCTTGACACTAATTACCAGAAAGAAAGACATTTATGCAAATACCTCAGACGCCTGAACTTCAGCCATTCTGAACCCTCCCCTCTGTGTGTTTGGGGTGAAAGAGAAGTAAAGGGAAAAGAGGCTAAAGAAATTACCTTCTCTAATTCCAACAGATGAAACCTTAATACTTGTATGGCTTGAATCATCTGCAAAGATACAAAAAGAATGAGTACCCCATTCCTGATTTGCAGAAAATGGGCTATCACAGCTCTAGCATCTACAGCCCACCCCTCCTCCCAGTAAATAGAGTTATTTTGATTTATGGCAATAACACTAAAACTTAATAGCAACGACTGGGTACTATCTAAAGTTTATATTTCTTAAGTAGAAAAAAAATAGCTAAAATAACAACAAAGCATCTAAGTGGGAATCATAAACACTATTCTCCCCTTTGGCTCTCCCATTCTGTCCCACAGCCCACACCTCAACCCCAAAGGACCACAGCACTGGGTTAGATGTTTCCTTGGAAGGACTGAAACGGAAAATATTCCAAATAGCTCTTAAATTGTGGCTTTTCACATTGCAAACTTCCCGTTGCATTCTGCACACCTTTTGGGCAAACTGGTTGTTTGGGGGCTCTTGCTGGGTCACGGTCCTCGTGATCAGACTTTGAGGGCTGGGAAGTCCACAAAGTTTAAGCACACACGCTGACAGGCCCAGAGATAAATCCCAGCGCTGATTAGAGCTGTGCAGCCTGGCTGTCATAAAAAACAAAAACTCGCGTTTCCCCGCGCCAGCTAGCCCCGGCCCTCTCGAGATGAATCTATTTCCCGGGGACCTTGTCCCTACCCCTTGTCCGTGGATGGAAACATTTGCAGCCCACTTGCAATTACGGGAAGACCAGTCTAGAAACCTCAGAGCTCTCTAAGCAAAGCTTGAGGGACTGGGGATGGGGTGGGCGAGAGGGGGAGGGGATGAAGGAGTCAGTTCTTACCAAGTTATCCAGTTCTGGATTAGAAGAAAATAGAGGTTTTTCTGCGCGAATCTAAAGACAGGTGAAAAGGAGAAGGGGAGAAGGAAGGGGGGAGAAAGAAAAAAATTGAAATCTGGTCGCCTTCCTAGTTTCTTGTCTTATTACACTGTTGGGGGTAGGATGTAACCTCCGGGAGGGACTCGGTGACACCGAGTTCATCAGGCGCAGAAACACTTCAATTTGAATCAAATAAGCCGAAAACAGGCTCAGAGCTCACTGTTACTTCTACCAACTACGCTTTTCCGGGGACGCTGCTCAGCTCGCCAAGTGCAAAGTAGCTACATCGCATGGTGATCCTGAGTTTCTTTCACAGACTGAGCTTTCTTCGATAGTTTAGGGATGGTGAGTGGCTATGGAGATAGGCGATTTCAAGTTATCCGCAAACACACCCCACCAGGGAGGAAAAAATCTCAGTATGGCTGTAACGCCCCTGTTTTAGGATGGACTATCTGGCTGGCTACTTTTGAAAACGTGCTGGCTTTCTGTGTTGGGGGCAGGGTTCCTTTTTGTTTCTTTTACTTTTTTTTTTTTTTTAACATTTGTTTTGCTGACCTGTTTGGCGAACACGGCTATATCTTCATTGAATGACTCTGACGAGCAGACGTCCCCGCCCGCCACCCCCGGCTCGCGGGGGGTACAAGTAGCTAATTCACATTTCTCAAAAATCAGTGCTAAGAGAGGGAAGAGGGGGTGTCTGCAAGAAAATACAACAGTCACAAACAACACAATGGTTAGTCCCGAGTCACTGAAAAAAGCGCCCAAGAAAAACAGCCAGAAGAGCTCGAGGCAGAGACCCCCCTCCCTGATTTTTGTCATCTACTTTTTCTTTTTTTCCTTCCCCTCGCCCAGGTGACGGCTCATCTTCCCTTCCTCCTAGGGCTCTGAAGTAGGAGGCCCTGAGCCTTCGAGCGTATCTTAGGATCGGATCAGCATATCTGGCCGGAGAATTGGCAACATTTGCTACGAATAAAACCCAAGCGGTTCCAGCAGCCATTTTGAATTAAGTTTCCCACCCCGGCCAATCCTCGTCCCTCCGCTGCACATCCATGACCTGGTGGCAGAGAAGGGACTGGGTGCAAGGGTTGGAAGAGCAAATTCATGAATTTCTTGCCTGGCGGCCGCGCGAAACCCAAATCCAAAGCTCGGGGGATTTCGGTGACAGGCGCTCAGCTAACTTGGGGAAAAGACCTCTGTGGCTGCAGGACCGACTGTCATGGGGCTGCACCTACCGATCCTTTCCCCTTTGGCCCTAGGAAAGCAGGGAGGCCCCTCCTCGGCTCCCTGAACACTCCCCCACCCCTTGCCCCCAAAGAAAGTTCCTGCAAATGTTCCTGTGGTAAGCCTTTCTTTTTGTCTCTGCGGAGTGGCCAAGCAGCCAGTATTGTGAAGGGCCTACATGTCGCTTGTCTTAGCCCATAAAAAAGAAGGGGGAAAAAATTGCTACTTCTAATGCCCGAGGAGTCTTTTTATTAGTTCTCACAACCCAGCTGGGAATTTAACAGTTTGGGGTCCTTTTCGAAGTTTCCCCAAATATTCTACCCAGAGCCTAAACCATTGCCAGTTATAGCTGCGGATAGAACGCTGGGATTTAAACAAGGCCATCGCACAAGGGACCAGAACATAAAGCAGAAAGATTCTTTCCCCTACGGGAAGGTCAGCGTTGGTTTTTTTTTTTTTTCCCTTAAGGAAAAACATAGAAACAAAAGTTGCTGCAAAGTAAAAAGGGGTCCCAAAATTCATCAGCACACAGTAGGCACAAGCGATTTCAAAAGGATTTCACTAGAGTAGGATCTAATGGGATGGCCGATGAGTACACGGTGTAAACCGCGGCCAGAAAAACCTCAGGCCGAAGAGCAGCCCGCATTTTACTTCTTGATAAATCCTGTAGGTTTCGCCTTTAAACACAAAGTGCTAAAACATCTAGAAGTTTCCCAATGTCTCTAACAACTCCGGGCCAGCCCCTCTCCTTGACTTCAGTGGTCAAACCCCCTAAATGCAAAACACGTTCCCCCTTGTCTGACCTGCAACTGTCCTCCCATGACTTTATTGTGCAGTGGCAGAGCCAGAATACGGTTGCTGAGTAAACTGAGCAAGTCAGAACAATCAGTGGCTTAAAAGATTTTCCCTTAAACTAAAAGTTTCGTTCCAGCACAAAGACGCCTACGTTTAGAAACCCCCAACGCTCCTGAGAGAAGTCGAGCGAGGAAGAACTCCGATCCGCTGAGCCGGAGTCAGAGAGAGGTTGAGGAACCCTTAAGCAACTTCTTCCGCACTGGGACCCCTTTTCCGCCACCGCGGCGGCAGAGCGGCGCTAAGCCCCGCAGCAGGCGCGTGTGGCAATGGGGGACTTCGGAGATGGCAAGCCGCCTCCCCAAATCTTCCACGCTATGCGAATGAATACTCAACAGCTATGTACCTCCAATCCCGAGAGCTCTGACTTTCCTGTTACCAAGGGCACCGGGAAATATAGGGGAAGCATGGTGTCTCAACTACTTAACTGCTGCCCATTGTACCTACCCATAAATGGCATCTTTATCTCTCTTTAAAGCGTCATTGACAGAGGAGCCCATGCTGGGGGCCATGGCGTTGGTATGAGCTGTGTGCGGATACTGATGCGAGTGCAGAGGAGGCCCGTGGTTCAGGTGGTGGACCGGCTGCATGGACCTGGCTGCATGCGGGTCCCCATACATCGTGGAGGGGATGCCTACTCCATCCATGCCCCCGTAATGGGGTAGATCGTCGTACTGCATAACAAACAGGAGAGAAAGAAGGTTCAGAAGGCCAGGCGAGTAAATAGGGGAACCTAAAGGCACCTAGCTTATGTAAGGTCAGTCCAGCTGAATCCTTCAATCCGGAATTCCGTGGCCTTGCATCTCTAAAGTTGACACTTCTATTTTTCAAATAATGTTTAAAGTAAAAAGTCTAGAATTCTATCTGTGCGACTCCTCTTAGATGAAGGTTCTTGCCCTAACTTGTGTCCCTATCGACTAGTTCAGAAATTCAGAATCCTCTGACAAGGAAGGGAGGAAGAAAGAAGGAAAGACAGAGAGGCATTTTCCCGGAGGGCGGAAGGTAAAACGTGCATGTCTCTGGAGGAGGAAATTGAAAATCACAATAATAAAACGTGCCAGGACAGTGCAGCAAACCCGCCTAGTTTCACAGCCCCTTCACATCAGGGGGAATTAAAAAAAAAAAAAGTTACGATGGGAACAGCTACGCCAAGCACGTGAATTCAGACAGGCTTCTCATTTTATTTGCTGCCAGAGTGGGGTTGGGCAGTCCTGCAAGACAACTGCGTTTCCTTTGCTTTCCAAGACAAACTCTGTTAAATTATACAAAATGAACTGACCCCCTTGTATGAAAAACTCAAGTAAGGGTAGTTTTTCTGTACCTTACAGCTGAATTTAGAATTGGGCAATTTCTACCCAAAGTTAAAGAAAATCTCTAACTGAAGCAGTTAGTATATATATTTTAAAACTCTTACAAACTTTCCCCAAAAACCACAAATCAAGGACGTAAATGTTACTCATTAGGTTTAAAGCAAATTTGAAAGCAAATGCCCCACAAGTTCTGTCTTCCTCTTCCAGAAAAACTTTCATATAGATTGTCATTAATTTTTGTGCTAAATTGAACTATTTAGATTTTTCTAATTGCTTCATTCTAGGCAAGTTCTTTTCCCAAGATTCGGAGGTGGCGAGAGTGAAATGATTTTCAAAGAAAAGAGGAATTGCCACTTTCATCTCCTTAAAGCCAGAGGTGTGAAAAGAGTTTGGAAGAACGCTGACATTTGCCTGAACCAAAGGAGTAAAGAAAAATGTGTCAGCCTAGTAACTTTCTTTTGCAAACAGGGCTTTGAGGGCCAGGACACAAATTATGCAAGGAAGGCTTTTTGTAGACCCCCTTTCTTTTAAAAAACTACATCAGTTGGGTTGTCATTGTCTTACTTTACTCTCACTACATTTCCATTCAAATAGGAATATTGGGGAAATGAGTATTGCATTTTAAAAGTGGATAGCTGGGTGCTTAGTATCCAATTAGTACAGGGCTTATCTAAGAAAAACTTGCAAAGTATTACTTGCATAAAAATACATGCAAATTAAAGTTACTTTTAAAAGATGAATTGTTTTTCCAGCCCCAAACCCTCTGTACTAATACAAAGTTATTTGTTTCAAAAAGCTAAATACTTCCAATGATATTAAAGATGAGCATAATCAATAACATATCAGAAGTTTTCAGCTGCTTTTTTCAATTTAAACATAGCTTTAAACTTCTGGTCCCTGAATGCTCAAATTATAGCATCGGGTATGTAGCGTTTTTGTTTTTGTTTTAAACAGATGATAGCTTGTTGTTGTATTTTATTTATATAGCTGTTGGTGATGAATCTATAGAAAACTTGATTACTTGAATTAACAACTAAAAGTAACATATATAAGTCTACAAATGCATTGAATAAATCCTCTCGCTTTAGGCCATGGCTTTAGGAGCCTCATTCAAAAAGAGAGAAAGAAAATAGGAAACTTTTTAGCAGTGTCTTTCAGCCACGTTTCAATTTAATCTCACATTTGAGTTCCACAATTGTTTTTAATACGTACCCTTTGCGCCATCGGCCTCTCTGGCTCCCTTCCTACTTCAACTTCTAATATATCCTCTTTAAGGCCAGTGTGAAAAGAAACAAATATGCAAACTCCCCGGAAAAAAAAAAAAAGCACGACGAAAAATCCCTTAACGTCTCCAGCAATGTGAGCTACTGGTCCCAGATCTTCGGTCTACCGGACCTGAAGCAAAGCGCCCGAGTCACTGAGCATAAAAGCGCTCCGTTTCCAAGACAGCAGCGGGGGCAAGGGAAAAAAAAAAAGCAGATCTTCTCTCCCCCAAAAATCAGTTTTTGACAAAAAAAAAAAAAAAAAGAGCGCCCCTCAGACCCAACTACCAAATCTCATGGCTTTCTGCCACTCCAGCTGTCAATCACAGGCGAGGTTGTCAACGTGGTGAATGAATGATCATCCGTTCTGTCTTCTTCTGGTCAGAACACCTCAAATGTTAATATTCAAATGCACAAAGCCCTAGCGCTCGCTTCCCTTGAATCAGTCCTAATTCCTAATCAGTTTCTTCTCTCTCTCTCTCTCTCTCTCTCTCTCTCTTTCTCTTTCTCTCTCTCTCTCTCTCCCTCTTTGCAACTGCTGCACTGAAGGGAGATTAGAGAAGGAGGGTTAAAAAAAATGTCTGTCTGAGTTTGTCTTAAAGGAGCCACGATCGATGCTGCCCGCTTGCAGTCCCCGTGCGTGTGTAAAGTGTGTGTTGCACAGGCGGAGAGGTGGATTCCGACCAGAATGCTAGAACCCGGAAGTAGTGGTGGCCATAACAGGTCGCGTCTTACACAATGCATTGGGCTGCAGCAAGTAGGCTCCTCGGCAGGGGTGGGTGCGCGAAGCGAGCTCTGGCCGCACTGGAGAGGCAGAAAGGCGCTCCATTAAATCGCACGCCCAGGCACAAACACCACACACACAGGGCACACGCACACGAACGCAGGCTGTAGCTCCCGGCCGCCGGCTCTATTTTCAGTATTCTTTTCTCTCCTTCCCCCTCCAGACTCTCTCCCCAAAGCCGACTCTCTTGAAATAAATTGGGAATAAACGCGGGGCAGGCAGCAGCGGGAGTTATTTTTGCACGGGGCTCCGCGTATTAGAGACTTCAAGACTTTCCTCGAAATTATTGGGGTCTGCCAGTATTTTTCGGGGCGGGGGTAACTGGATTCTCAGAACTAGACTCCCCAAGGAGAAAAGTCAAACCGGGAGCAAGGAGAAGAGAAGCCGGAGCTGGACTGGAAAAGGCTCTGTTCAGGAGTCCTGAGAACATGGGGTGGAGGTAGCCCGGGCTTTCTGCAGACCCAGCTTAGAGTTTTTCGCTGTCAGAGGCGAACGCCTGTCCGGAGGAAAGGAAACGCTTGCATTTTGTCACTTTGGGTCTGGATGCCCCCACCTCCTCACCCCGGCAGCCCCCAGCCCCAGCCCCGGCGTCCTGCGCGAAGTGAGAGAGGAAGGGAGGGAACAATGAGCTGAGCGCTGGGAATGTGCCCCCAGCGCCTGTTTACAAACACCAAGCTATTTATGATCGCCGGAAAACGAAACTTGACGCGGGCACAGAGCAGCCCAGACCTCGCAGGCGGAGCCGGGGCCGGGGAGCCGCGGGGAGGGAGGCTCTTTTTCCGATTCGCTCGGGGCGAGGCAGCTGTGCGCTCAGGGCGCGGCGCGACGGGGCCGGAGCGTTGGGCTCCGGCTGCGGCCGCGACTGCCTTTGTCTTCGAGGCGCCGAGGGGCTCCAGCCTCGGCCTTCCTCGGGCCTGGAGGGTCTACGCGCCCCCAACTCTTTCCCCCGCGACACGCCGCGCTTTCCTCCCTAGACCTTCATCCCTGCATCCTGTTTTTTTGTCCTCTACGCGGCCGGGCAAAAACTCCCAGTTCCTGAGAAAAAGAAATCCACTTCGGGAGCTGAGATTTCAGACAAAAGCTGCCACTACCCACAACTCGGAGTCTCCAATCAGACGCTGGTTTTAACTTTCTCCCTTTGAATACCTATTCTCTAGACTTTCCATTTTTTTATTCTCCCACTCTAAGCTGGTCCTTTATTATTCTACTTTGTGGCATTTAATCTTTATTTCTGACCGCCCGGCTCTGATCGGCCGAAATGGCTCAACCGCAGCAGCTTCACCAGCAGCTGGAAACCTCACATCCCAAGCAGAGCTAGCAGCTCGCTCGGCTCGGAGAGGATTTTCCCCCCTCCCTCCAGCTGAAACCTCGCAGAAAACTCCCCCTGCGGTCGCCTGGAAAATGAGCTCACCCAAATCTCGGTAGGCAGCAGTGGAGGAGGGCTCGGCCAATCAGGAGGCGCCCCCGCCCAGGCGGCCGCGCATTGGCTGCGGGGAAAATCAATTATCAAATAATCGATCAGCAGGGAGCTTCGATCTGCCAGGAAAGCAAACTGCCAGTCCAGATTCCCGCCCTGAAGGTGGCCAAAAAGGCTGACTCCCTCAAAGTAGCCATCCCGCTCTCCCATCACCCCATCCCACCCTGCCAGCTGCGAACCGAACCCTCACCCCCGGGGAGGGGGGCTAGGTAATGGGATGAGTTTTGAGAAAGATGAGGGGGCTCCCTTACACGCGGAAGTTGTTTGGAAATCTTTAGAAGCTCAAAAATGTGTTGAAGCAACTCTTAGGCGCAAAGTAAAAAAGAATTTGCATCCATTCGCGAGGAAGTACTCAAGTTTCTATTGAGTGGGCTTCCAAGGAGCAGGGAGGATACAGGGTGGTCATTAGAGAACATAGATATGGAGTCAGGTTCCACCAAGCGCATGTAACCCTCCCTGGGCGACATCTATGCTTCTTTTAGCACTCTGTACAAGTCCATGCGTGGTTGGTTCGCCCCCCAAAAAAGCCTAGCAGATGAGCCTCCCCAGCCTCATACAGGCCACCCTGCCCCCAACACCGAATTTGCTCAATGTGTGCCTGAAGAGCTGACATGTTCTCCCAAAACCTTCAGAGGTGCTTTGCCTTGAACGAAATCAACTGCATGTATATATACATATACATATACATATACAGTCCCAAGATCTTTTATCATTTGCTTCTCTGTCTTCTCTCTGTCTCACACTTTCTTATTGTTTGTCTTCCACACTCAAGTTTTAACATCTTTCACTTTTCTCACCACATACTTGTGTAGTTTTCTGGCACAATCGCCCAGATATATCTATCACTTGGGAGGTTAAGGCAGGCCAGGCCTGTGCGTCAAAGCCAGGGAAAGTGGGGGGCAGGTGAAATACCACTTGCCTTTATGATCATGCCTGATCAAGTCTCCCCCCACCTCCCGCACCCTCATGTGAACTTGAAAGCAGAATTTCAGGCTAAGATGGAACCTCCCGGTTTCAGGAAGGCGAGTTTTGCTTAATATTTGGGAAGCTACGGTGGCTGGGCCAAGCAGCACATTTCTTTTCCGATTATGGAGAGGACTAAGCTGGGCAGGCAGCCTGCAAGCCTTTCCCGAACTCCTGGCGTCTTCGGCCCACACCTGAGCGCGTTCCCACCGCTGTTCAGGGGATGTGAACGCAGTCTGTCCAGCAAGGCCAACCAGGCATCAGCGCGACTGGAGGGTCCAGGGGGACAAAGGGGGGAGGTATCAATCAGATACTGACATGGGCACATCTACGTTTACGATCCTTAAATGAACTGCGAGGGAAATTGTGTAAGTATAATTTAACTGAGAGAAATTTACTGCGAAATACATTTATATGACTATGGTCTTTAACAGCCCTGGGGATTCTCAGGCAAACTTTGTGGGTTTGAAGTTACTTCAACTCTGCGTCCACGTTTTCAAGTTTGGAAAAGGTCAGTTTTGATATACAGTGTATATTTCTAACAACAAGATTTATTTTGTATTGTTACTTTCCAATAAATATTTCTTTGGTGTTCTATCCGAAAAGACAAAAGAACATTGAAGTCACTCTTTTCAAATATAACCCAAATCTTAAAAGCAAGGGGATGTCTACCTGTGCTTTCACTATGATCTGTCAGATTATTCTAAAAATGTACTTTAAATTACCTACATATAGATTTTCCTTAAAGAATGAGATAGTTTGAGTTTATAAGCTTAAAATAAACCCCTGTTAGGTTTGAAATGTGTCTTTCCATTTATAAGTGTGAACCTAAAACTACTTCTAGGCCTTTATACGATTAATTCTGAACAATCAAGGGACTAAAACACTTTTACAATGTAATTACAGTAGTACAAATTGTTTGCCCAAACCTCATTCTGGATAAGGATTTTACAATTAGCAAACAGTTATTACAGTTGGGACTTGCTGAGAGAAATTGCACAGAGGACGTCTCGAGTTGCAATATAGTAGCCATAAAAAAAAAAAACCTCCTTTAGCAGGGCAGCAATTAATCATCTATTAAAAGGAAAAAGTGAAGGGACAGTTCTAGGCATCTTAGTAAACTACTGACGGTATTTATGCCTGCTCTGTGACAGCATCCATGCTAAGTTTATTTTAGGTGCTTACTTTTTTAAGGTAATAACAGTTTTATTCTGAAAAAAATCCTGGCCTGGTGAACAGTTCTGGCACTTAGCCCTAGCTCTTGCGATGCAGGCCTCCCTTTCTCTGTTTGCCCTCCATATCCCAAAGCATCTTCCCAAAGATAGAGAATAGGGACTAAACAGAGGCAGGCTGAGCCCTTGGTGTCTATTGTTTATAGCCTCCTATTGGGAGGCATTTGAAGCAAGCAGTGCTCCTCTAGGCTGTTGGTACGGTAGTTTTAGAAACTCCCCCATAACTTTCTGTTCTCCTGTAAGGAATTGTGGCTTTCCAAAGCTCATATCCTGAGTTAGGCTTTTGTCTCAAAAGTTCACAACTGATGAGTCAGCTCAAAAACCCTCTGAAATTAAAAAGGCACCTCTTAAGGTGAAATGTGTGTGTATTTGCCAGCCCAGAATAAACAAAAGCCCGTTAATCAATGGAGTTTGGCAGCTGTGTTCACAGAATGATAAGGGTTTATCATCTGCCACCTAACTTTAAGATGCCTGTTAAAATGTTTTGATTGCTTTTTAGGTTGTCCTGGGGTGTGGAGGCCTGGGATTTGTACTTCAAGAACATCCATCCCCAGAATTTCACCCCCACACGAGCATTTGCATTTCA